CTGAAATTCTACTTGGCCTACCATTACTTTCAGCTTATATCTGAAAGAGAGATTTTTTTGGTTCCACTTTTATTTTTAGCTTTTTGGGGGGATCATTTTATTTTTGATATGCCAGTCGTAACCAATAAATTGCTGGATTTTGTCTTTCCAACCTAATTGAGAATGCTGGATGGTTTTTAAACTGGGGGAAATGAAGGACATTTTTCCAGTTCATTATGAATTATCCTATTTCTTCCTGATGAGAAGTTGAAGCTCCCAAGCTCCCAACTTCATTCATTGTTTGTCCAGGTGCTATGCCATACTGCGAGATTAATCTTAAACATCAGTCATCTTGATTTGTGGCTCTGTTGTTTTCATATGCATGGCCCCATATTGCAATGTGTAGTAAAATTTGCACTTTATTGTATAGCTTTTAACTTCTAGTTTATGCTGTGTTTCTGAATTAGATTCCAAAGCCTTTCTAGGAGTTCAAGATCAATACACAATGCTGTGAGCTTGCTTTAAAATATCCTTTCTTACAAGATTGGACTTGACTGTGTTCTAACATCCCCCTTGGCTTTAGTAATTAAATAGAAAAATATTGTTTTTTTTTTTTCTTTTTTCTTCCTGTGTTTGATTTCCTAACACTCCCTAATCAGAACATGAAAAGTTCTAAACATCTTCAGTGCAAATATTTGTAAGTCTGGACTGGCTCCTGAGTTCTTGTGGTTGGATTGTCTGGGAGAATGTAATGTTCATCCTGGTGATAGTTGGTAAGACCTGCAACCCTGCCAAGGCAGAGCAAGGAAGCCCTAATACAGTTTCACTCCTTGCTGTGAGCTCAGCTTTGCTCCACCTCGTGGCCGTCCTGGGAACAGCTACACCAGCAGCCCTGGCCTTACTCATTAGAGGAATTACAAGAGAAGGCTACTCCACACTGTTCCATAACACAGAGCTGTTTTTACCATGTGCAGATGGCCTACTAAACCGTTTCTATTCTTAACTTCGTGAATTATGAGTTTCTTCTTCCTGAATAAAACTGAAATACCTCTGAATATTCACAAAATGTCTATGATGGGAGGACACATTATGGAGCCAAAATATTTTCTCCTACATTTGTTTTCACCTTTGGATGGCCTAAGAGAAAAGTGCTTTTATTCTGGAGCGAGAGGACTGATCATCAGATAGAGGGGGAATTTCTGGTCAAGTCATAGCAGCCATTGTAGAAGATACTCTCTGTATGTTGTCTTTGGGATGTCAAGGACAGAGCACCTTTTATTCAGCCATTCTGCAGCATGTGTGTTATTACTAGGGGAGATGACAACAAGTAAAAGTGACTGGGGCCACTGCAGTAGGTTAAGCCGATGTCTGCAGTGCCCACATCCCATATGGGTGCTGGTTGGAGTCCCAGCTGCTCCACTTCCAATCCAGCTCCCTGCTATTGCTCCTGGGAAAGCAGCAGAAGATGGCCTAAGTGCTTGGGCCCTTGCACCCACATGGGGAACTCAGAAACTCCTGGCACCTGATTTTGGCCCAGCCCTGGCCATTGCAGCCATTTGGGGAGTGAATCAGCAGACAGAAGATATCTTTCTCTCTCTATAATTCTGATTTTCAAATAAGTAAGTATATAAGTCTTTAAAAAATAGGCAAGTGACTGTCTACATTTCTAATGCCTGGAATGCAAGATGAATAATGTATTGCTGAAGATTTACAGACAGGTCAAATGGCGGGAGTTTAAAAGGAGCTCCCCGTATTTCAGTGGAGATTGCCATCTCATGGAAAGGTTTAAAAAAAATCCTATTTCTTGGCTACACTGATTATTCAAGCCCTGACGAAAGCCAGCCTGAGATGGGGTCCCTGAGAAAGTCCCCGTGAGCCAATGTCTTCAGTTCCTCTCCTTCCACGGCATTAACACCCGTCAGGCTCGAGCCCAGCAAGCTCCCCCGGGAGCCCAGAGTACACCTGCACCTCCACGGCCACGCAGGCCAGGCAGGTGTCATCTCTGCCATCAGCCTTTGAATGTGGGAAAGAATCTGTGGCAGCTGCTGGCCCTTTAAGGGGATGAAACCCCATAACTGTCCCCAGAACATGGCAGACAGTGGGCTCCGGCGGTTCTGGTGAGAGTGGTCACCTGCAGCTGGAGAGATCCAACAATCAGAGGTCAGAGAAATGTGAATGGAATCGATAGCACACTTTCTTGTGTTTCTTTGTGTATATTTCTCAGGGCGTGGAGCGGTGGTTCTCAAAGTATAACACGCACGAGAATCACAGAGCGTGGCCCCGTGCCCAGAGGCGGGCTGCGTCCCAGGTGGTGCTGCCCAGGGCCAGGCTGTGAGCTCAGTTCAATGAGCTCAGTTCAATGAGCAGGTGCAGACACCTGCGTGACTGGTGTTTGTGTGCAGTCGCCTGAGTGCTGGGTGCTTGTGGGCGTTCTTATGTCTCCTGAAGCTTCAGGCCTCCCTGGCCACATGTGCTGTGGAGCGTCCCTGTCCCTGTCCCTACCTGGCTGAGGAGTGTACATTTAACAACACAGAGTGCCCAGATGCGCGGCTTGAGTCAGCAGCTGCGATTTCTGTCCAGGTGCCCTGGACAAGCAGATCGTAGTTTCAGAATTACTTTCCTCTCCTGACTGGTTCCTGAGTTTCTGGAAACTGAGAGGTAGAAATGGTCAGGAATACATCGTCACTCGGCTGGCGCTGTGGTGCAGCGGGTTAAACCACCACTTGCAGCACTGGCATCCTGTATCGGAGCAACAGTTCGAGTCCTGGCTGCTCAGCATGGCCCAAGTACTGACGGCCCTGCAGTCCGGATGGAGTTCTGGACTCTTGACTTCGCTGTGGCCATTTGAGGAGTGAACCAGTGAATGGCAGATCTCTCTCCCTCTCTCTGTCACTTTGCCTTTCAATTTAATAAATGAGTCTTAAAAATAAGCCATAGAGGGGCTGATGCTGTGATGCAGTGGGTAAAAGCTGCCGCCTGCAGTGCTGGCATCCCCTATGGGCGCCAGCTGGGGTCCAGGCTGCTCTACATCCGATCCAGCTCTTTGCTACGGCCTGGGAAAGCAGTGGAGGATGGCCCAACTTGGGCCCCTGCACCGGCATGGGAAACCTGGAAGAAGCTCCTGGCTCCTGGCTTTGGATCAGCGTAGCTCCGGCTGTTGCAGCCAGTTGGGGAGTGAACCAGCGGATGGAAGACCTCTCTCTCTCTCTCTCTCTCTCTTTTTCTCTCTCTGCCTCTGCCTCTCTGTAATTCAGCTTTCAAGTAAATAAATAAATAAATAAATAAACAAATCTTTAAAACAAAGAAGCCGTAGATACAAGAACAAAGGGTACAGCCGAGTGGTGACTTGGAATCCCGACAGCTCTCCCTACTAAAGGGTGGTGCTGTTCTCTGAATGCAGTGCCCCTGGCCTCGCCCCTGTGCGGATGCAGCCCAGCCTCACTCCTGCACCCCACACCTGGGTGAGGTGAAGCCTGCTGGCCTCTCAGCCTCTTCCTGCCACTCTTGCTTCCAAGTGCCAAGCTTCTGGCAGATGGAGCCCTAAGTAAACCTGGGCATGCTGCCTCCCAGTATTCCTCTGCACCTGTGCACATCTGATGCCTTTGGAGTAGAACACTCTTCCTTCCTGCCTGTCCCCCTTGCTTGTTTGGTCCATTCGTATTCATTCTTGGTAAAAAAAAATCCATATGTAGGGGTTATTTTAAAACTTGAAAATACAAAGAATTATGGACAAATGTCCATTGAAAACAGGTGACTGAGGAATCCGGCTTTTGGCCTGGTGCCACACTCACCTCCCAAGTTGTGGTGCCTGGGCTCAAGTGCCTGTTCAGCTCCCTATTCCAGCTTCCTGCTAATGTGCACCCTGCGAGGTCACAGGTGACAGCTCAAGTCTCTGGGTCCCCACCACGCCTGGGGGAGACCCAGTATACTGAGTCCTAGCTCCTGGCTTCAGCCTGGCCCAGCCTCAGCTGCTGTGGGCATCTGGGGAATGACCAGCAGATGAGATCTCTGTTTCTTTCTGTGTGTCCCTCTGCCTTTCAAACAATAAAACAAATAAATTGAAAAAAAAATTAAAAATGTAAGTGTAGTTCACACTTGGATTCCTTGATTTATTTTCTCCAGGGGATTTTTAATGCATGTGTATTTATGGGAATGTCCCTTAAAATCATTTGTGGCATGTTTTCCACTTGGTATTACATTGTAAGCTTTCTTCTTAATGGTTATAAGTTATTTGAAAAAAAATTTAATGGTTATATAATTTTCACATGTTTGTGTGTTTATCCTTATCTATCTATCTGTATGAAGGATTTTCCCATTTAACCCTTGTTTTGGTTGTTTTCATTTTTTGCTATTAAAAATAATGTTGCATGGAAGATGGCCCAGGTCCTTGGGCCCTGCACCCCATGGGAGACCAGGATAAGTACCTGGCTCCTGCCATCGGATCAGCGCGGTACGCCGGCCGCAGCGCGATGGCCGTGGCAGCCATTGGAGGGTGAACCAACGGCAAAGGAAGACCTTTCTCTCTGTCTCTCTCTCTCACTGTCCACTCTGCCTGTCAAAAAATAAAAATAAATAAATTAAAAAAAAATGCTGCAGAGAAAATTTTGACCACCCCTCTGATTTTTTCCGAGAAGATTCTAGAATGGAAGTTCTAGAACAAGAAGATAGCACTTTAGGTCCCTGGATAAACCAATAACGATTTGTTTACAGTACTATAAATGCACAGAGCACTGTATACAAATTCATGCCACTAAACTGCGACTGGATGAGATATTGCTGGCAACTGTTGGCTCTAAAAAGAAAACCAAGAGAGGGCTGCTGCCGTCCTGTGCTGGGGCACTGCTGCAAGTCCTGGCGCTCTGCTTCGTAGCCAACTCCCTGCAAATGCACCCGGGAAAGCAGCAGAAGACCCAAGTGCTTGGGTTCCCGCCACCCTTGTGGAACACTGAGATGGAGTTTCAGGCTCGTTGGCTTTGGCCTGGCCCACACCTGGCTGTTGCAGGCATTTGGGGAGGGGACCCCTGGATGGAAGATCTCTCTCTCCTTCTCTGTGTCGCTCTGCTTTTCAAATAAATAAATCTTAAAATGAAAAGAAAACCAAAGGAGCAGGTATTTAGCCAGGTGCTTAGAATGCCCGCGCCCTCCAGTGGAGAGCCTGGGCTCAGCTCCCGTTCTGGGCTCCGGCTTCTGTCCCTGCAGACCACAGCTGGTTCCTGAATCCCTTGTGGGAGACCTGGGTCGCATTACTAGCCCCTGGCTCTGGCCCTAGCCAGGCCCAGCCATTGTGCCGTTTGCGGAACGAACCGACAGAGGGGAGCGTTCTGTCTCTGTTTTCTTTCTGCCTCTCAAAAAAAAAAAGCCAATGGAAAAAGAAAACAGAAATGTAAACAACAGATCTCTTTCACTTGAAGAAAAGAAATTTCCTCTACAATTTTGAAATTGTGTTTATTGATTCATTTGAGGTCTTTTCAGATAATCTGGACATGTATCTTAACACACCTTCCGGACAGAGGGCACAAAAATGGACTTCTCTGACAGTAAGACACACATGCACTTACACAGTAAACATACCACTGAACGTCAAACTTTGAGAACATATGCATTTTTCATTATGTCATATTCTTGCAGTATACGTCCGGTATTCCTAATTTGACTTTTTCACAGTTGCGCTACACAAGAAATTATATATAAATACATGTATACATATATATATATATATATATGTCCTGATAAACACCATCTCTGAGATATTGGCAAAACCAGAGGTGGAAAAAAAACGAGGTTGCTGCTCTCAGCACAGGTAAATAGTCAGTCTTCGGAAGAGATTGCAGGCTGCAGGCCCCCGGGCGGTGCACGTGGCAAGCTCTCCACTTCAGAGTTGCAGCGTGTCGGGCACTGGGAACCCCAAGACCCTTTTTTTTTCTTCTCTGAGTTTGTGGGCCATCGTCACATCTTGCTTGACATCTGCTTATAGAATCCCCACCCCCTCCCCATGACTCTGAATGCTTGACCTGGCCATGTTTCCTGCCTCACTCTCCTGAGAAGCATCTAGGATCCAGGACTGACGTAGAACAATCATCAAAGAAAAGAACTAAGCAGGAACCAGGATGATGTGAAATAACCAAACCATGAAAATGCATCGGGTAAGAAACCATTTCTTCTTAAGAACCTCGATCAGACAAGTGTAACCAATTGTGTTTCCACTGTGTCTAAACAGAGACTAGGTCTTAAGACTTCAAGTTCAAATATTGGGAGGATTACTACCATTGCTTTAAGACGTTTAACATTGTTGCAACATGCTAACTTCTAGTCACTGCTGATAACAGGAAAGGAAAAAATGCATCAAATTGGTCCATGAATAGAGAATGATGGCATATTGTTAAGACACAGTCAATACTTTTGGGAATACAGTTTTAGATGCTTCTGTTATGGGAAACAACTTTTACGATTTAAATTTTAAGATTCAAACACAGAAACAAAAACCACTATGGTTCTTTGATGGAATATGTGGTCTCCGCTTCAGCTTACCAGGGAGTGCCCGACCCAGTCACAGGCTGGATTCCGTGTGAGATCGGCATGAACTGCTGGGCCAATTTCCGTACTGAAGAGGTCTTATGAAGATCTTGTGCAAAAACATGCGAAATACTGGAGTTCTGAAAATGATGAAAATCCAAGGGTCCACGATGGAGATCACAGAGAGGAAGCGCAGGGCCTGGAGGTCGTCGGCCTCTTGAGAGCGCCTGTCCACCGCCTTGAAAGCGCCGGAGTATGCACGATACTGTGGCGAGGAGAGACAGTGTTACTCTACCTGGTGGGTTCACTGCTCCCCTCACCCTGCGTCCCCTCCCCTCACAACGCTCGCTTTCGGTGAATTGGTGAGCAGCTAAGGCTGCTGCAAGGGGAGAACCCTGGAAGCTGGTGGGAGGTGGGGCTCACGTGCAGACCTGAGCCCGTCCCAGCGGCTGGGCTCAAGGTTCCAGGTCCCTGCCCTGCCAGGAAGCTCTGTGAGCCGAGTCGCCAGGTCCCCAGAAGCACGCAGGCTCCCTGTCCCGCTAGAACCCTTAGCTCTATTTGTGTTTCTTCCTCCTGCCTACTTCCTGTCTTCTCTGAGTGGCTAACACAGACCTCAGCTGCACTTCTGAGATGTCACACATACGGAGACAGCAGCAGGGCAGAAGCTTTTAACCAGCGTGAAGAGACAGGCAACACGACAACGAAATGACCGAGGGTCACTTGGCCAAGGAACTGTCCAGCTCCTGAAAATGCGCGCCTTCTGCATGGCACAGACGGCTCCCTTTCTGAGCTGGCACCTTCTTTTCAGGCTACGGGGGAAAACGTGCACAAAAATACGAGCTCGCGCACCTGTGTCCAACCAACTCCTGGCATCTGCAGCTTCCCCGGGGCCCTGCTAACTGCCGCAGGCCACGGCTTTTCCTGCATTCCGGCAACTCTGCAGTCCAGCCAGCGCTCCCTCTGCTTCCTGCCACCCTGAGGCTGGCCAGCTTTCCTTTGTGCCGTTACATTCCCTACTGAGATTTCAGTGCACAGTGGGACACACGGACCCTAGTGGAACAGGAAATACGCACACCCACTGGGCGGGGACATGGGCAAGTGCAGCGGCCTGACCCACCGCGGGCGCTCAAACAACATCTCCCGGAGAAGACGCGTTGTCCCCTCATCCTTTCCTCGCCTCTTCACGTACAGCACTTCAGTGGCCCGGCTGAAGACATGACTTAGGAAGACGTCCTACACTGGGCTGGCTTCTGTCTGGGTCCCTCCTTGTCCTTACTGCCTCGTAACACGAATAGGAGTTACAACGGCTGATGTGCAGACAGAGCTATTTCCAGGGGCTTGTTCTAAGTACTTTTTTAAAAAAATTCAGTTTATCCTTACAAAAGTCCTATGAAGTCAGTATAAATAATATCCCTGCTTTACAGACGTGGAAACTGACTGCATGCCCAGATCTTCCCTTCCTTCAGGGTCCACTTCAAGGATTACCCCTCTTAGGAGGTGTCTTTGAGGCAGTGGCTAAGTAGTCAGCATTGGGGCCTGTCTGCCTGAGCTGGAGTCTCCTCATTGGATGATCCCCTTTCTTTTTCATGTTTATTTATTCATTTATATTTGAAAGAGCAACAAGGCAGGTGGGAGAGAGCTTTTTTATTCACCTGCCAAATGCCCGTAACAGCTGGGGCTGGGCCAGGATGAAGCCAAGAGCCCAGAACTCCATCCAGGTCTCCCATGTAGGTGGCAAGGACTCAAGTACTTGAGGCATCTTCTGCTGCCTCCCAGGATACACGTTAGTGGGAAACCGGACAAGAAGTGGAGGAGCCAGGACTCCAGCTGGCACTCCGATATGGGATGTGGGCGCCCAATGGAATGGCTCAACCCACTGCACCACACTGCCTGCCTCAGTCCCTTCCTTGGATGTGCAACTTTGGGGAAATCCATGTCCTCATCTTTACAGTGGGAGTCACTGGACCTGCCCTCCAGGCTGGGTGTGAAGTTTGAATGAGAGGGATGCGTAGAACAGATTCTAGCACGTGACACAGAGTTAGTGATTGGTATTCTTTTTATCAGTTACAAGTGACTCCCTTCTTCCTCCCAACTTCCCCATTTGCCTAATCACTCGCCTTCCCCTGGTATTATAGCTCGTGTGGGCGCCTGTGGCCCTTTTCTGATTTCCTCTCTCCACAATGGATAGGAGAGCATCTTGGATGCGGTAGGACCAGCTGTCTGCTGAACGGATCCATGGGTGACAACAGGCTGTATGCTCAAGTTGATTTTAAGAGCAAACACTTTACATGCCTTTCTCCTTGAAGTGGAGAGGGGCAAAATCCAATTTCACCTCTTTGAGAAAGCTTGATCAGCTGGGACTGAGTCCAGGCAGCAGTGTTGGCTGAATGACAAGAAAGCTGTGGTTTGAGCTTTGGGACTGATGCTTGCATTAACAAATCTGTTTATTTCCATACAGTACTTATCCATGTCAGTTCCACTGGGTTCTTTGTACTTTCAAGTCACTTGGTTGATTTTGGAAATGTGTTGTTTGACACTTGTTTTTGTTGTTTTGTTTTTTAAAAAAACATATTTCAATTCCATTCTTCCATGAACTTAAAAATTTTTTTATTGGAGAGGGAAAGAGGGAGAGAGAGAGCCTAAATGCTTGCAGAGTTGGGCCAAAGCCAGAAACTCAATCCAGGTCTCTCACATGAGTGGCAGGAACCCAAACCTGGTGACTCCCAAATGGGACATAGGCATCTCATGCATTAGGCTAAACACCTCCCAAATTTGGCGTTTATTAATAAAGTGGCTTAATTTAGAGGATCTGTGTGAGAAGAGCGCCCTCTGGTGGACTTGGGAGTCACTGAGAACACATCGCCTTTTCCAAGCAGGAGACTTGACTGAACATCCCTGCTTGAGAGATCTCTTTAGATTCTGATGAATCAAATTGAATTTTTTCAAAAAGATTTATGTATTTGAAGGACAGAGAAACAGAGAGGGAGGGATAGATATAGATAGAGAGAAAGATCTTCTTCCATTTTCTCGTTCACTCCCCAAATGCCTGCTCTAGGCAGGGATGGGCCAGGCTGAAGCCAAGAACTCCACCCGGGGTTTCCCATGTGGGTGGCAGGGACTCTAGCACTTGGGCCACCTTCCAATGCTTTCTCAGGCACGGTGGCAGGGAGCTGGATCAGAAGCAGAATGGCCGGGACTCGAACCTGTGCTCTAATATGGGATGTGGACATCCCAAGTGGCAGCTTAATCTGCTGTGCCACCATATCCTCCACTCAAACTGTCCTTTTCGCCAGTGCCTCCTTCACCCCAGAGCTCGCCCTCTTCTCGGGCCCTGTAAGTCCACTTCACACCCTCTCCCTTGGGCTCATCTCTTGCCCTTCCAATGCTTCTAACATCCTCTTTGGGAAGAAACATCCTTTCTGCCCACCGTGATGACATGCACACAAGAGCTGTCTCAGTGGGTGCAGGTGCGGGGTACCCTCTGCTACTCTCTGCCTCCGTGGGTTCTTATCTATGCAATGACCCAAGTCCCTATGTATCTTTCCCTAGCCTTTAATTTTCTTGAGTGGTGCGTGATCCCCCCTGCTCCCCCGCCAACTTCCAGTACACGGAGGCTTTCTAAGGTAAGACTCGTTTTGATGGAAAGATGTTACATGCATTAAGAATGCACAGCAAACAGCCTCTCAAGCCCACCCCGAGATCTCTACTGTTTCTTCCTGTTGCATCAGATCAGAAATTTGAACACTTGTTCAAACACTTGCTTATTCTAACCCAGCAGTATTGTGATGCTAAGCAATCAACCACACCCCAGCAAATTTGTCACTGGCCTAATACAGTCTTCATGCTATGAATAAATTATTACTTTTTAATATAAAACACCCCCCATATACAGCTGTATTTTTCCAGTTGCTATGTCCATTTCTCATAGAAGAGTGGTTTTCAGAATGTAGGGTCTCCAATACCCATTCAATGTGTCCAAGACAGGAAAACTATTTTTCATTAAGAAGTTGTTATCTGGGCTTTCACTCTCCTTCTCTCATGGACACATGAGTTTGACCAAGGCTGTATAGCATCACTTCCACAGCTGTTCCTGTGTTTTCTTGGCTTTTCTACAGTAGTAGGGTGAATGTGTGTCTGTGTGAGTTTTCAAAGATTTCTAGGATATCTGTGCTTCTGACATGTGTTTTTCCTGTTTCACTCACTGTAATCTCCATAACCTTACTATATTTCATTAAACCATTTCAAAATTCCATGGTTTCCCCTGCACCTATGCAAAACCACAAAAGCAAATTTTGCTATATACTTTTTGCAGTAATACTTAAAAAACTTCTTCAGCTTAACTTTTAATATGATACATTTAACTTTCAATACTGATACATATAATCCATGTAAATAAAAGCTCTTTTGGGTCCTAAAGACTTTTTAAAGAGTATAGAGGAAGTCCTTAGACCCCTCTCCCAAAGATATGAAAACCACTGCAAAGCCGGCGCCGTGGCTCAATAGGCTAATCCTCCACCTTGCGGCGCCGGCACACCGGGTTCTAGTCCCGGTTGGGGCGCCGGATTCTGTCCCGGTTGCCCCTCTTCCAGGCCAGCTCTCTGCTATGGCCAGGGAGTGCAGTGGAGGATGGCCCAGGTGCTTGGGCCCTGCACCCCATGGGAGACCAGGAAAAGCACCTGTCTCCTGGCTCCTGCCAGGATCAGCGCGGTGCGCCGGCTGCAGCGGCGGCCATTGGAGGGTGAACCAGCGGCAAAGGAAGACCTTTCTCTCTCTGTCTCTCTCTCTCACTGTCCACTCCGCCTGTCAAAAAAAAAAAAAAAAAAAAAAAAAAAAAAAAAAAAAAAAAAGAAAACCACTGCATTAGAACATAACTGTATCCTGAATAGACTGCATTTTTTGATTAATTTTATAAGACCATCAGGCAATAATAATACATGGAAGTTATATAATAAGTAATATTGATGGTAATGATAGAGGTCAGACACACACACACACACACACACACATACACTTTCCTATTCCTAAGACAAGAGTGGCCTAGAAAGCGTGGTGATCTCCACTAGCCATTCAGTGTGCCCAGCAAGGTCAACACTGTCTTCTTAAGAAAGCTGCTGTGGCCGGCGCCGCGGCTCAATAGGCTAATCCTCCGCCTTGCGGCGCCGGCACACCGGGTTCTAGTCCCGGTCGGGGCGCTGGATTCTGTCCTGGTTGCCCCTCTTCCAGGCCAGCTCTCTGCTGTGGCCAGGGAGTGCAGTGGAGGATGGCCCAAGTGCTTGGGCCCTGCACCCCATGGGAGACCAGGAGAAGCACCTGGCTCCTGCCATCGGATCAGCGCGGTGCGCTGGCCGTGGCGGCCATTGGAGGGTGAACCAACAGCAAAGGAAGACCTTTCTCTCTGTCTCTCTCTCTCACTGTCCACTCTGCCTGTCCAGAAAAAAAAAAAACCAATAGACAGATAAAAGAATATAATGAGAGCTGCTGTGTGCACATCCACTCTCATTCTCACACAAATGTCCAGTGAGCTTTATCAGGACCAAATGACATGTGATGACATCACTCCCTATCTTACAGGACAAGGAAGGCTACCGTTGTTTTACGGATGAGGTAACTGAGCTCAGAACCGGTTCATTAGGCCTCGATTGTAGGTAGGAAGCCACGGAACCAGACTGAACCCCATATCTGATGCTAAAGCCCTTATCCCTTCCAGAAACTAGCCATGAAAAATGCAGTCTGCACTACACGTATTTTTGACTGTACATTTTTTTAAGAAATAACTTTCATCCATTATTTCCTTCAGTCATCACAATACCCTGTGAGCTAGTTGAATCTCCCTAGCCACAGATCCCACTGCAATGCTCTTTCCACTGGATTATGCTGCTTTCTGCATTGTTCCTACTGAAACATTCAGCCTCAGGACAAAACTGTCTTGTATGGGGCCACTTTCCGTTTTTATCATAGCACAGGTAAGCGAGGTTCCAACTTTAGAATAAGGGTCTGCAAACATTTTCCGTAAAGGACCAGAGAATAAATATTTTAGGATGTACAGCCAAGAGACAAAATTATGACTATTTGGTAGGTACTTTATAACATGAGAGAATATGCATTTGTACAATTTTTTTTTATTGATGAGACTAAAAAATGGAGAACCTTTTGGGAGGAGAAATACACATTTACTAAGGAGAAGAATGTATTTTTTTTCTCTTGGCTTAATTGAGGCTCAAAGTTCTCAGCCTTATCATTAAATGGTTGCTAATATTCATTGGTAATAACTACTATGCACTCCAGAGCTGCACAAAAAAACAGCAGGCAGGACAGAAGTTGTCCAGAAGTTGTCCGGGCTGTGGTTGGCTGGTCCTGTTTAAAGTGTCCAATCAGTAGCTTCTACGTCACCTGGGAACGCATTAAGGCTGCCAACTGGTCCAGAGAGCCTGAGTCGGAAACCGCTGGGGATGAAGCCCAGGCATTCATTCTTTTGAAAAGCCTGGCGGACTAGTCCCTGCACGCTGGAGTTTGAAAACCACTGCTCCGCAGCTTTATGCGGATAGCGGTTTCTTCCTTTCTTTGTTTTTGGGGCTTCTGACCCCAATCCTGCATGAGGAGTCTGCAGACTAGCTTCTCCACCCCAGGGGCAGTGTGCGATTCACTTAAATGCTGTTCCCATTGGGCAGGTACACCGGGGAAGGGGGGAGGGGATACCAACAGCGGCCAGGTGTCTGGGAGCCCAGCGGTGCCTCCCTCTAAAACCACTAGGTGCTCCCCGCCCCCTGGAGTCACCCGAAACCCGGAATCATGGCTTTCGTGTCGCCCCACTTGTCCAGACGGAACCTAAATCTGTCAAGACAGGTCGCCGCCGCGGCCGAAACCTGCGTGCGGCTGCCTCCCGGTTTCTGGCAAGCACCGGAGACCGCGGCACCGCGCCTGCAAGCGGACCCGCGAGTCTTTCCTGCACTCAACCCACGCCTTCAGTCCCCGGCCTCCGCAGCCCCCTCGGGCAGGAGCAAACCGTGCCTTACTTGCTCTGCCCGCCAACACCCCGGGGGGCTCCCTCGAGACTCTAGGGGCCCCTTCCTGGCTCCACTAATATTACAGGGAGCGCTAGGGATTAAAACCCTGCCCGGCTGTCTGCAAGGAGGAGAGATGCGGTGCTGCCCAGCAGGAATCCGGGTCTGCGCCTCAGCCGTCCGGGGCGCAAAGGTGACTCAGGGGGAAGCGAACTCTGCCGCTTGGAGAGGGCATTGCCCGGCTGAGGGGGCCCCGTGCGCCTTGCTCGTGGTCTTCCCTCCTCTGACTGTCCCTCTTATCGCTCCCCCACAAACCGGCTGGTCTCTGAGGGCTGTGGCGGGCATCCGGTATAGGGAGCGCAGTCAGCAAGCCTCCCCGCCCAGGGCGCAGAGCCCCGTCGCGCCGCGTCCCCCACAGCCGCGACGCCCAGCGACTCACAATCAACGGCAGCGAGCACATGGAGAAGAGCACCGTCATGAGGGCCAGCAGCAGGAGGTGATCCAGCTCCTCCAAGGGGTGCGGAGACGCCCCGCGCTCGCCGGCGCCCGGCCCGGCGCGCTCCCTGGGGCCGGAGCGCGCGTGCCGGCGCAGGCGCTGGTGCATGGTGTAGAGGTTGCGCATGGCGCCCAGGTTGCACAGCACGATGGCCAGCACGAGCAACGCCATGAGGCTGGAGTAGAGCACGGAGTAGCCCAGCACGGCCAAGGAGCTGTCGTCGTGGACCATTTGGATGAAGCACCAGGTGCCGGGGCAGTACTGCACGAAGCGCCCGAAGCCCGCCAAGGGCAGCGCGCAGAAAGCCAGGCAGAAGACGCCCACGACGGGCGCCACCAGCGCGCCCCGGCGCACGGTGATGTGGCGTCGGTAGAAGAAGGGGTGCCCCAGGGACAGCCAGCACTCGAGCGCCATGGCCAGGAGCTGCAGCGTCGAGGCGAGCCCGAAGAAGGACATGCAGAAGGCGAAGGCCTGGCACAGCGAGTCTCCGGGCACGGGCATCAGCCCCCACAGGCTCCGGTTCTGCGCGTAAGCGGTCAGCACCACCGGGCTCACGAGGCATTTGCCCAGCAAGTCGGTCACCGTCAGGCCGCACACCAGCACGTAGAAGACCGAGGGCGGCGGGCGCGACGGCCGCGGCGGGCACGAGCCCAGCCCCGAGCGCGCCAGCAGCCCCAGCGCCAGCAGGTTGCCCAGGAGGCCCGCGCTGAAGAGCACGCTGCCCATCGTCGCCGAGTTGCCCTTCTCCACCGACGTGGTGTTGTGGCAGCGGTAAGAGGGCGCCCTCATGGCCGGCGGGCGGGCTGCGGGGCGCGAGCTTCGGGAGCGCGGGGCTCCCGGCGCGCGGCTGCGGAGGAGCCCCCGGGGCGCGGGCGCACGCGGCTCGGCCCGAGAGGCTAAGCCGCAGAGGAGGCTCGGCTAGGCGCAGCGGGCGGTGCCCCGGGGGCCGGCGCCTCCCAGCCCGACTCTGGGTCACACCCTCTCCACGGGGCGGGTCGCGGCCTCGGGGCTCGGGGAAGGAAGGAAGGGAGGCAGGAGGGAGGGAGAGAAGGAGAGAGGGAGGCGACCAAGTCCGAGAACCCAGGCGAGGTGGGAGAACTTTTGGGATGGAGGTGGGGAAAAACCAGCCAGCGCCAGGGAGGAGGACCACGAGGGGTTGGGGGCGGACGACTCTGGAAATGAGCAGAGGGGTTGAGAAAGGGCACGCCCTTTTGTCTTCGATTAGTGACACTCGAGCCAGCCCGGTCCACAGGGTCTTAACCACGATCTCAACCGAGACAGCAGGTGACAGAGCTGGCCCTCGAAAGCAAGCCGGGTGTCTGTTTATAGAGCTGCACACTCAGCTTGGCTCCCTTGGCTGCTCCTCCCAAGAGGCTGGTCAGCTTTCAAGGGGGTGGGCCCAGGGAAAAGCCAGAGGCAGTGTTGGCCCTGGTGGGCATCCTGAGACCTTGTGGGTGCAGGGCTGTGGTTAGAAGCACGTGTGCTTCATCACATAGGCCTGTGTTCAAGTCCTGGTTCAGGTTCTTCGTTGCCGGCAAACCCCCCCTCCCAGCAGGGACAAGGAGATAACCCATGCAGAGTGCAGAGGCTTAGGAATTGCTTGCTACAGGCAGTAGGCTGTCACTCAAGTGATGGAAGGGTGTTTTGATAACTGAGATTCAACTGCAGTTTTGAGCATGAATTTTGAAACCAGGGGAAAAAAATGGACTTGATTTAGGGCTCTCTGCCTCTTCTGGTTTGCTACTACTAGAAAACATTTCTTTTGCTTCATAAAGGCTAGGAGATTATTCATGGTTTGTTTCTTTAATTAACACCCCGTATCCTAGACGAGAAACTGGCTTTGAGTGTGGACTTGGAGCCGCATAGCTGGGGCCGTATTATGTAAGCAAGTAGATTATTCCTTGGCCTGAAGACGCCCATTCCTGGGCCCTGTGCCCACTCCGATGGATGGTGTCACAGAGAGGGCAGCGTCCTGGGGCTTCAGATGCGGCAGCCTGATGGACAGGCAGGGAGGTGGCCTCCAAGCTGAACCTGGCCAGTGCTGCAGGCCACGGTGTGCAGAGGAAGCAGCCCGGCGTTGGACGTCGTTCTGCACTCCACCGCTAGCTGTGTGACCTTGGCTCAGTGACTCTGAGTTTTCATTCCCTTAGAAATAGGATCTGGGGCATAATGCTCACCTCAAAGCCCCCTGTGGGGCTGAGAACAGGTGAGCTCCGAGTGACCGTGGTAATGAGAGCTGGCACGGAGGGCCATCTCCTTGCTGTGCATGCCAAACCTTCCCATGCATCCACCCGCTGGATGGCCTTGCCGAGGGTTGGTTTCCTTGTCGTCTGCCTCTCTCCCTCCTTCTCTCCCTCTCTCATCCCCACCTCCAGCCTCTAGCACCAAATAGATTTGTAAAAGCTCTACTTGAGTTAATGAAGTGGCAGGAGGAACAGCTCCTTGCACCCAAAGACACAAGACCCGGATGGAAGCTGGGGTCTCCTCCCCCGACACACACACAGTTTATACCCATTTCTGGACGGGCACAGTTTCCTGCAGTCCCATGATGGTATCCAGAGCACACCGGGCAGATTCCACCTTCTGAACCCTTCCTTGAAGCACGTTGCACGGGGGTGTGCATCCGAAGCACATCTGCTCCCTTTCTTGCAGCCTTAAATATTATTTTTTTCTGCTAAGGCTGCCACCAACTCCCTCTCCCTTCCAGGAACAAGTGCACAGGGAGCCAGGGCCCAAGAATGTAAACAGCTTGTTCAAACCAGCGCCGCAGTGCGAGTGACGGGCCAGCTGTGGGGCCCTGACACGGTTCGCATATGTCATCCTCCACAGGTTGAAGGCTTTGAACCAGCACAATTCAGGAAACCATGTGTTTCCTCCTGCCCAGTGTCGCTGGCCTGTACCGGGGGGGTTCCGGTTGCCTTTCCTGCCTGCTCTGCTGCTGTCCACCCTGCCTTGCCCGCAGCCTTAACTCTAGAGCCTTTCTGTCCCAGCTAAGAAAAGCATTGCCTGTTCCTGCATCCAGTGTTTTCTGAGTTGTTCCTTTGTGCCAGGCAAGGGAGCAGGCACTGCGGAGCGCACAGCAAGGGAGGCAAAGCAAATGTTACTGTGACTTCCACAGGCTTGTAAGTTTCTCCATCAGCTTTCAGAGCAACCGGGTGAAGCTGCTTTTGAATTGTTTTGTTTTCTATAAGAGAGAAACTGTTAATGACAATATCTTGGGCCTAGTTAGTGGTCACTTTACCTCTTTTATCTACAAAGCTGAACCAGGCTGCTTACTTGTGCTATAAGATAAATCGTCCAGAAAAATATATATATAGGGCATCATATGTGAGCAGACTATTTTCAATATATGATTGCATTATGATACTGTAAACATGAAATCAGATATGTGCATGGACATGTTCTAGAAGATGACATAAGCAAATGAAAACATGGACTTAAACTTGAGAAGGGATGCTAGGAAAAAAATTCTCCTTGAGTCTCTGGGTTCAAGTCCCAACTCTACTCCTAATTCTAGCATCCTGTTAATGTGATCTCTGGGAGGCAGCAGGTGATGGCGCAAGTACCTGGGTCCCTACTACTCACATGGGAGGCCTGGATGGAATTTCAGGCTCCTGGCTTCAAGCCTGCCCCAGTCCCAGACGTTGCTGGCATTTGAGGAGTGTATTAGTGGGTGGAAGACATCTTTCTCTCTTTGAAATAAATAAAAATTTAAAAAGAAAAAAATTCTCCTTGGATTTCTACTGTTTTCAATGCAGTATGTGTAATAATTATTTTAAAAGGTTTCAAGCATAGAACAAATGTAATGCTTCTGACCAGGTTTTAAGAAGTGGGGAAGAAGGAAAAAATAAAAAAAAAGAATAGCTTTGTTCTGGGTTCCTTCTGACCACGCTTCTGAATCGTGTCTGCCCCTCATTTCTCCTGAACGCCAAGGAACTGGCCTGGGGCTTGTCAATGGGGAGGAGGGAAGCTGAGAGCAACTAGGGACATCCCTTCCCCAGCTTGGAGGTTTCTCCCTGCTGGAGACCACGCCGGCTGCCTTCTCGCATTCAGCTGGTTGTGGGGATGTGTAGGGTCTTGGGGGGTGATTTTGTGAGCATTCACATCTCAGCCTCACTCCTTGCCAGCTCCAGGCCCTTGAGCAATCTTCTAACCTTCCCAAACCCCGGTTGCCTTGTCTGTACAATTGAGGAGAGTGAGGATCCTTGTACAGCACTCACAGGGGACTTGTGTGGCACGAAGCAAATCATCTGTGCGGAACTGGAGTTCATAGCCTTGGCTGTGCTTCAGAGTCTCCTGGAGAGCTTTGGATGTTTCTGAGGCTTCAGCACCCCAAACCCCTTATACTGGGCTCCCCAGCTGTGCCCCCAGCCCTCAGTATTCTGTGCAGTGTCCCAGTAAACTTCTCAGGTGAGAACCACTGGACTAGACTGTTTAGCATAGTGCCATGATGTGCCTCTGTGTGGATCCATTGATAACTCATGTCTTCATCCCTTCCAGCTGTACTGCAGAAGTTTCTCTCTATCTCTCCCTCTCTCTCTCTCTCTTTCCTCTCTCCTCTCTCTCTCTCAACATGAAAATGAGACTCAGAGAGCTCAACACCTTTCTGAGTTCACACAACTGCTGTGTGATGAGTCTAGAACGGTGTTCAGTCTTTTGGATTTTCTCAACATTTGCTTTGGACAAAGAGAAGGCCAGGGGCAGGAGAGAAGGGAGGGAGCCTGTGGTTTCCAGGGTCTGCTCGGAGGAGGCCGGGCAACCCCCAGGGTCAGAAGTGCACCCGTTCCTTGTATTTCCGTGGTTGCATCACAGCTTGTGGCGGAGTCTGCATAGATGCCATTGCCACATCTGTTTGCTAACATTTGCAGCTGGTGTGGTGAAGTCTGCATTTCATCTGGACCTGATTTGTAGGTTCCCTCACCTTTTGTCGAGCAGTAATTTCCATCGTGCCGTCTTTGGCTTCCCAACAAGAGACTCAGCCCTGCAGAGGTTCTGGGGGTGAGCGCGTCTGAGCAGACCTCAGCTGGGCCTCTGTGGCCTTGTGTAGATCAGGCTCTCATCTCTGTACTGGGTTTGCAGAAAATGTACTTTTAGCTTTTGCTTGGCTGTGGTGTAAACCCTGAGGGTCAGCATGAATTTTTGAAGGTGTGTTTGGGTGGTGCCCAAGAGCAAATCACTGTGGAGTAAGCACTCCCTAACCCCATGATTGGCGGTGAAGGGTGCTGACCACTGGGCCTTCCCGCTAATCTGGCTGTGGGTCGAAGGGAGGATTGTGGCAGGTGGGCCTGGTGTGGTTCCCTGGGAAGCAGAGTCCTGATGCAGATGAAGAGAGTTTGGGAGGCTGTTTAGGAGGGAGTACTTGGGGATGACCAGCTGTGAGTGGGAAGGCCTGGTTACAGCAACCGGGCTCCCGTAGCTCCAATTAGAGGCGCGAAGCTCAGACATTGAAAGGGCCTGTCCAGGTTGTCCCGAGTTCGAGGTGAGGTGAGTAGGCTTTTATGTCTTTGGTGGGCCGGGCACTGGGGGCACGGCACAGGGCTTGGGAGCCAGCACTCCCCAAGGCAGGGCAGGTCTGGAAGGGGCCGACCGCTGAGGGCTGTCTCATGACAGCTGGAGGACAGGCTGATCGGGAGGAATTGAAATGAAAAACCAGAAAGGACTCACAGCTCTGGGAAGGACTGACTTGTGAAAGGCTGGAACTGACACTTTGACGAGAAGCTGACTAATGCCCTGTCTCGGGATATTGAAAAACAGAGGAAGTTAGAAGTTATGATGCCCATTTAATTCATTTTCCAGGAAAAATTCCAACAAAAAGGAATTCCCATGAGCGCAATTCCAAGCATATAAAAGAATTGCATCTGGTAACATGTCCCATGGATGCAAAAGTTAAAATAAATAGCATCCTACTAAAGAAAGCCAATTACCTGCAGGAGCCCGAGTGAACTCCTGGGTACAGGTGCTGCGATTCCCAGCTGCACGGAGGCCGGGTGGGGAGACCTTTAAGTCTCTCAAATTTGGACCCCTCTGCCGTATGCCCAAAGGGGAACAAACTCCATAAGAAGCTTTAATTTTATGCTTTTACTTAAACCTTTTTAATAATTTATTTTATTTATATAAAGGGAATGAATTTCCTGTATTTCGTATACAGTTTTGAGACCAAAATATTTCCCACCCTCCCCTCCCCCCTCTCATTCTCTCTCTTCTTTCCTTTCTTATTTTTCTTTTAATTTTTGCAATCACATAGTGGCAATTAATGCTCCGCTAAATAAAGAATTCAACAAGTAGTAAGTAG